AGTGCATATACTGTACTGTACAAAAAAAAGTATACATTGTAAAGAAACTTGATTAAAAATTCCACCAATCAAACTGGTAACAAATATTACATGAACCAGAAATACTTCATGCAAACAGGTCTTTGTTATCACTGGTGTGTTCTGTTCACTATGCAGCAGGGCAGCTGCTCAGCATGGGATCTGTAAGACAGCAATGATCACTGAACAGAGGCTACTACAATGATTCTCTGTTTCTACACAGATTGGCCAGGTACGGAATATGCAAACATACATTAATTTGAACTAGACTGATGTGATATGCAAAAAAACCCTAGAAATTCTGCTTTAAAGTGGTTGTAAACCCTTACATATACCAAGTGATGACTTGCCTCAGGTGAAACACAGAGATGTTACAAATCCTCCTACATAAGTTGTACCGGTTTATCTGTAGCACTCTCTCCTCTACATCCATTCAAAGTACTGAATTTATAAAGCTTGTCTGAGAGTTCAGAAAACAGGGGGCGGAGAGCTGAAATGACACACTACAGAGCTCAGAGAGGAAAGCTTGGAGAGCTAATTGAAGGGAAGAGACACCCCCTTCTTCACAGAGCAAACAGGAACAGAGCTGAGGCTACCAGTCTGCTGGAGGTCCCTCCCCATCACCATTTTTTTCTTGGTGTCAGGAAAACTTGTCAGAAGTGATTCATGCTGATAGCAGAGGAATGGGGCAGCAGACAGAACTGACACTAAAGCCTTAAACACATGATAAGAATATTGGATGAATGATCATCTGTTTTTTTGCATGCTAGTCTCATAGAAAGAATGAAGAGGTTACTAAGATTATGAAAATTCTTGTAAGACAGAATACAGCTTCAAAAGTGATGTAATATATTGTATTGTATTGTAATGCATTCTTCTGTTTCTGAGCATGCATGGTCTTGGTAGCTCGATTTTTTACAGATGAATACTATACTGATTAAACAAAAATTATTCATTCTGTTATTGAATGAGAGACATTTTCATGCTTATCCCTTTGGATAATTTTGCATGAGCTGTCATGATTGGTTCTCGAAAGCTGTGTACTAATGATCAGAATATCAGACGATCACTTTGAAAGTGGTATTTTTGAGTCCGATTTTCCCATCATGTGTACTAGGCTTTAGTGCCCTGAATAGAGACAAGTACACACTATGTTCATATTTCATGTCTGAGGTTTACAACCACTTTAAATACAAGCTAATTCACACCTGCCCCTACTGCAGCAGCTAGTGTGTGGTGTGGTCCAGTGGGATCGCTGCAGTGTCAATGCACTGATCATGGCACATCACACTGTTTATTTTTTTTTTTTTAAAGGAATTATATTTAAATGTACCACATACATTTAATTATTTTCAACTGGCTGCTGCGTGGTGCGAGGTGATGGACTGCTGCTCACTGTGCTGCACTGAAAAAAAAATGATGCAGTGATGCAAACTGTGCACATGGGAGGCAAGACATTTTGCCTTGTCTTGTGGTAGGACTGCGCTGGAATAGATGCTCAATGCAGTCCTTGGTATAAAATGAACCCTTAAAGTAGAACTCTAGGCAAAAACTTCTTGTTGCTGTTGCTGATTTCCTTCCTTTACTGAATATGTCATCCATTTTTTGGTTAACTCAGTAGTTGCTCTGAAATAGCCTTTTCATTTTCAAATCAAACCGTTAATTCTCTTTTGTTTCCTGTTTGTAAGACCAATGGCTGCTATGCCTTCTATTCTCCCAGCCACTGGTCTTGGCACATCCCTTCTGTATTTTTTACTCCAGAAAGCTGTGATGTAATTCAGCCCCTCTTGCAGTGGTGGGAGGACTGGGACTCTCAGACTCTCAAACATATTCAACATGTACAAGCCTTGTGCACAGGCCCACATTCAATACAATTCCCTGTAGATGGGAACTGTAGTTTCCTTTTACTGCAGAGAAAGGAGAGAATATGATGCTGACTCTGCAGTTACACCTCCTGCTCAGAAGAGCAGATGCTGTTATCTTTGAATTCTTGAATTACAGAAATGAGGTCATAACAATTCAATTAGACTCTTCTCCTAAATGGTAAGGATTTTCAAAATTTTATTAACTGCTTTGTGTTTATGTAGGGGGTGTACTAATGGGTGATTTGTTTGCCTATCCCAAAGTTCTTCTTTAACCCTCCTACAGTCCCTGCATAGCAGAGCAGGAATGTGTGAGAAAAAAAAAAAACAATACAAGAAGCCAATTAGTTCACTCCATGACAAGAAGCCTGCAAACAGATTGAGAAAGCAGCATGACAGAGATATATGGAAGAGGTGTAGAAAGTTTTTAAATGTTACTTTTCCTTGACATGTTCTTTACAATTGTATTAGGTCTAAAATAAAAATGTAATATAGTACAGTTTATCAGTTACTAGCTGTGTTGGCTGCATTTGTTCTCTTTTTGTTTTTTTTTCTTTATTTTCACCTGGTGATCCAGCCAGTAGGTCTGTTATATCTTAAATATTGTATTCTACATCAGGGACGCCTTCCCCATCAGAATACATTGATTAGTGCTGCACCTATTGGCTGCAGAGGCTGATTGAAAATTGTTGGTTTTCCAGCAGGACCGTTTGACAGAATTATCAGCTTCTGTTGAACAGAGAGGGCTACACACAGATCGAAAGTAATTGGATAAATTTCGATACTCATGTACCCAGCTTAACGCTACCCTCTCTCCAGGCAGAAAATACTGGTGTCCAAAGGTGTCTGCTCTATTACTTCATCCAGAGTGGAGACACCCGGCCTATGCACTTCTTCACTGTGTGTTAATTACGAAGAATGAAGCAATGCTTATTAATGCTCCTATGGCATTTATGATGTGTTTATGATGTGCTTTCATTGTGTTTATGAAGCATTGAAAACACTTCCTGAATGCTCGATAAATGCCCATGAAAGCATTGCTTCTCTTGTGGGAAGTGCTTGATGTAGAGGAAATGATCTAATTTGATATGTTGATTTCAGATATATTACAAAAAATATATAAAATGAAAACCAGCAGCCATGTAATATTATTCACTATTTCTCTCCTGCTTCCTGGAGGACAGTTGTTCCCTAAAGATAAACCCCCTTTGGTAAGTTGTTGCCAGATCTCTTTTTCTGTATGCATCACGAAAGCTCAGGATACTTGGGTAGTATAATTCTGGGTGCTGTTCCACCTCTTCTATGAGTACTGATACAATAATATCAGCCTTCATATCACTCACTGACATTGTCCCTTCCATGGGGTGAAACTTGCTGATAAGTTCTTTAGCTGACACAAAAAGCTTTGCCACTTACAATAATACTCAGAGCCTCTGCTCCTACATGGCACTGTGAAATTAAAAGAAAACCCCAACTTTTGGGTTGTCCTCAGAATAGTAATAGAGGTGAAAACTTCCAATGGGGACACTAGTTCTGGCAATCTGGGGGTCCCAAAGGAATTCCCTTAATTTTCAGGGATTTTCTCTCACTTCCTGTTTGGTTATGGGGCAGGACGTTATGGGAAATCTCCCCAATGGGACACAAATGGAGAGAAAAAAACCCACAGGGGTGAAAAGCCTTCCTTGACCTATCCAAAATGAAAAAAAAAAAAAAAAGAATGCCTATAGTTCTACACTAAAGTGGAGTTCCAGACGTTTTTGTGTTCATTAAAAGTCAGCAGCTGTAAAAACTGTAGATTCTGACTTTTAATAAACACACACTTACATATCCCAGCGATGTACTCACCTGCGCTGTCCCTTCTCTCCTCAACAGCACCGGCATCTCAACTGTGGGCACCTGGCTGTTGCAGCTTGCGGCTTCATAGCCGGGTGCGCATGTGCGAGTCGCGCTGATAGCCAGGCTGTTGAAGGTACGACGCGTCGGGGAGATTGACTTCACGCGCTGTGCATCCTGATTGGTCCGGCAGTCTTCTGGGACCTGTGAAGGTAGGTTCCCAAGAGACTGCGAGAGCAAGGAGGGGGCCAAACTTCTGACTCACTTTGTCTAGGTGAACTGAGCTGAAAGTGGGAGCGGGTACCTGTCAAAACTAGGTACCCCTCCCCCCAAAAAGTGCCAAATATGGCAGTGGAGGGGGGAGGAGGCGAACAAGCAAAGCTTCCACTTTTGGGTGGAACTCCGCTTTAATTGAGCAAGTTGAAGTTTGAAGCTGATTGGTTACCATGCACAGCTGCACCAGATGAAGGTGTCCTTTTATGAAACTGAGATCAGCGGCGATCCTGAGGATTGTTTGATTTCAGATCATTAATGGTTTAGGAAACAGAGATGATCAGTGGAGAACACAGACTGCCAGTATATGAAGGAGCAATGTCAGCCCTTCATTGGTGATCTGTGTTCTCCCTCCAGATTCTGCAGCCCAGAGCTGGAGAATTAGAGGAACAGCAAACGAAGCAGTGGTAATTTACTGCTGCTTAGTAAACTGTGTTTGACTGATCTCTTACTGTAACACCAGCCGTTTTCTAGCGTTCAAAGCGTTTGTAGATCACTTCTCTCCTCATTCGGAGAAGAGATCTACACCGCTTCATAAAAAGGCATTCAGAAAACTGTCTCCTCTGAGAATGCCAGAGAACTGAGCAGCGATCATTTACCGCTGCATGATAAAAGGACACCTTTACGCTCTCCAGTAAATCAGCCCCACAGAAAATGCATTCTTGGTGCCCAACTTGTGTTTGTGTCTTATGGTGCTTTACTTCTGTCACAACAAACCAGATATGTGAAAGGACAAATGACACTGACAAAAAGCAATCACAGCTGGGACCACATAACCCCGCCTCCCTCGCCGCCATATTGGGATTGGCGGAATTGTATTAGTTCTGCTTCCGCACTTTCCTATTTCTGCCAAAAAACAAGACTGTACATGAACTAAACAGATGCCGTTTCCGCAACATTCGTGCATTTTAATGAGGTGTAATTAAGTGATGTATTTCTTCTAGCTCTTGAGGGGACGGGAGGTCGTGCGAGCAGTGTGACGAATCTGCGGAAAAGGTAGCGGAAGTGTGGGCGCCGCCATCTTTTGCCGGGGCTCGCTGACTGTCGGAGGCCTTCGGTGTATTCTCCTGTGGTGTAGTCGCACGGACAGAGGCCAGGATGTTCGCGGGGGCTCCGCGGAAGAAGAAGAGCAGTGGGAAGCAGCAGGCGGAGCTGCTGGTGTTCGGCTATGCCTGCAAGGTGTTCCGGGACGACGAGAAGGCCCTGTACCATGAGCAGGGCCGGCACCTCATCCCATGGATGGGAGACAACAACATTCTCATCGATAGGTCGGTTGGAAGCTCATGACAATTAACTAATGTAACCCAGTCTGATCACTTCTGTTTCCAGGGGCTGCTCTGACTCCTCCGCTGCTAGACAGGCCTGTGTGTCACTGCATCCTACCATGGGAAGGCCCTATTCATACAACCAAGGACACACCACTGTCATCAACACACATATCTAGATATAGTTAGATCACAGCATCTATAGGCACTGTACAACCGTAGTGTGTACATATACACCGGGTACAATCCCTCTAGGGCAGGGGCGGCAAACTGGCGGCCCTCCAGCTGTTGCGAAACTACAACTCCCATCATGCCTCTGCCTTTGGGAGTCATGCTTGTAACTGTCAATCTTGCAATGCATCATGGGAATTTAGGGACTGGCTGGAGGGCTGCCAGTTTGACACCAGTGCTCCAGTGTATTATATATAATAGAAGCCTTGTAGGGTGTGTGTATATGTGTATATATATATATTAGGGATGCACCGATATTGGTATCAATGCTGATACTAAGTATTTTCACAAGTACTTGTACTCATGAAAATCCTCGCGATACCTGAAACCGGTACTTTGCAGTGCAATCTGCGCCAATGGACGCAAATTGTACCTCAAAGAGTAGCATGTACTTTCAACAGGAATGCGGTGCAATTCCTGTCCAAATCGCATGTGGTGTCCCCACTGCTCCTGTGTGAACCCAGGGTTTTTGTAGCCCCAGTTCACATGGGTGGTGCGCAGAAACCTCCCTGCACTGATTCCATGCTGAGCGGAGAGTGGGTGTGTGGGGATGTATACTGTGGTGGCAAATGCTCCGTATTCTCAGCTGTAGGAGGGGGGGAGAGAGCGGTGGGGATTTAAAATCCCCGCTGCGTTCTCTCCTCTCCTTGCTGGGTTGACATTTCGGGCTAGAGGACTTTTGAAAGGTCAGCACTGTCACATGGACGGTGCTCACCTATCAGAAGCCGTCTAGCCCATACTGTCATCCCTGCAAGGAGAAGAGAAAGCGGTTGGGATTTCAAATCCCAAGACCTATGAAGCAGCTTTCTCTCTTCTCTTTGCAGGGATAGCAGTATGAGCTAGATGGCTTCTGATTGTTTAGCACCATCACATGGACGGTGCTGACCATTCAAAAATTCTCTAGCCCAAACTGTCATCTCTGCAAGGAAAGGAGAGAGAGCCACAGGGATTTAAAATCCCCACCACTTTCTGTCCTCTCCTACAGCTGAGAATATGGAGGTATGCATCCCCTTCTCTCCCATTCTCTACTGCGGGAAACCTCCTTACACTGCTCCTGTGTGAACTCAGGCTATGACAAGCCTGGATTCACACAAGAGCAGTGGGGAAATCACATGCGATTTGCACAGGAATCTAATTCCCGTTCAAATCACGTTAGTCTTTGTGGTGCAATTTGTGTCTATACATTCTGTATGTATCAAAGTATCAGTACTCGTGCTCACTGATCAGAAAAGGCTATTGGTGTGTGTGTGTGTATATACACATATACATACACACACACCGTGGGGTTGATTTACTAAAACTTGAGAATGTAATATCTGGTGCAGCTCTGCATGGAAACCAATCGTCTTCCAGTTTTTTTTTGGAAAAGCTTGATTTAGCAAGCTGAAGTTAAAAGCTAATTGGCTACCATGCATTGCTGTACCAGATTCTGAGTGCTCCAGTTTTAGTAAATCAGCCCCACCGTGTACAAGCCCTGTTGATATACAGTGTACAAGCCCTGTAGTATACATGTGTTAGAGGTACATTATAAATACAGAGACCAATACCTGCAGTATATACCGAGCTGGTACCATTGGCATCTCTGCACCAATCAGCCATAACTTTATGACTACTGACAGGTTAAGTGAATAGCATTGTTTTTCTTCTTACAGTGGCATGAGAAAGTGGGTGGGATATATTATACAGCAAGTGAACATATTATCGATAAAGTTGGTGTGTTGGAAGCAGAGAAAATGGGCAAGCATAAGGATTTGAGCGACTTAGGGCAAGATTGTAATGGCTAGACACTTGCTGACCTGTGTCCACAGCCAAAAGCATCTACAAGGGGAACTTGGGTATCAGAACTGGATCACTGAGTAATGGGAGAAGGGGACCTGGTCTGATGAATCACATATTATTTTACATCATGTGGATGGCTGGGTACTTGTGCGTAGCTTTCCTGTGGAAGAGATGGTACCAGGATGCGGAATGGGAAGAAGGCAAGCCAGCGAAGGCAATGTTATACTTGAAAACTTTGGGTCCTGTCATTCATGTGGATATTACTTTGACAAATACCACCTACCTAAACATTGTTGTTGAGCAATTGCACCCTTTCATAGAAATAGTATTCCCTAATGGCAATGGCCTCTTTCAGCAGGGTAATGCTTCCTGCCACAATGCAAAAATGGTTCAAGGATGGTTTGATATGTTGACTTGGCCTCCTAATTTTCCATATCTCAATTCAATCGAATATCTCTGGTGTGTGCTGGAAAACAAGTCACATCCATGGAGGCCCCAACTCACAACTTAAAGGACTTGCGACATTGCTTGGTGCCAGTTACTACAGCATATGTTCAGAGGTATAGTGAAGTCCATGCTTCAACAGGTTAGGGCTGTTTGGTGGCAAAAGGGGGGCTTAATATTAGGTGGATATTCATAATGTTATGGCTGACTCTTAATAAACAGACACTCTCCTGTCCCAGGATCCAGCGATGCGCTCACCTGGGCTGTTCTTTCCCTCAAGCTTCAGTCGCCAGTGTCGGCATCTCAACTGTGGGCACCCAGCTATGACCGCTTGCGGCTTCACAGCCGGGTGCCCACTGCGCATGTGTGAGCCATGCTGCACATTGTGTATGGTCCCACAGTCTTCTGGGACGTGTGATATGTCTCAGAAGACTGCGGGGAGGGAAGTGGAGAAGAGAACTTCCGCTTGGATCCGGATCTGAGTGGGAGCGGGTACCTGTCAAAACCAGGTACCTGCCTCCCTCAAAAAAAAAAAGTGCCATTTGGTGAAGAGAAGGGGAAGAGGCCTTAAAGTGAGACTTCCCTTTTGGGTGGAGGTCTGCTTTAAGTTCAGTTGTATGCATAAATGAGGCGGCATGGACTGGGTCTTAAAATGTGCTGGCAAATATATGTGTACAGCTGGACTTAAGAGGTTAAAGCTTTTATCAATCACTGGTTTTACATCTACTTTAAAATACCAGCCTCCCAAGAAACATGATGGCCCCTTGGGTGAGTACAGATGCTGCAGTAATTTTAATTCAGAAGACAGAGTACAGCAGGCAGCACTCACCTATTTAATTCAATGAGACTGCAGTGCAACCATGAGCAAAATGCTAGTTCAATGTATCCCCATTCAGCTGTGAAAAAATAAAACCGTAGAAAAATAGGTTTATTTAGTTCCAGTGTTAGTGCCATTGTGTTTTTAATTAGGATAAAATGTGAACTATAGATCCTAGGCCAGTTTTCTCTTTGATATTGATAATATATTAAGAAAAAAAAATCTGCTAAATCCAAAAGCAGAAATGTAATTCTTAGATTTTTTTGGCTGCATTAGTTTTTTTGAAGGGGTTTTTTTTTTTCCCCCCTGTTGATCCGGTCTGTAAGTCTGTTATTCTCGCTTACTTTAACAGACCAAGTGGTCAAGCAAAAGTGGCCGTTAGAAGGTTGAGACTATTTACCACTGACAGTTGCTTACTTTATTCCCCCCCAAAATGTTTGTAACTGCCTAAAAGGTGTTAGTTTGGAGTTTGGCTTTACTTTGGTAGTCAAATTAATTTAAATCTGCTAGTTCATCTAACACCCTCTCCCCAGACAGACAATGCTTCTGCCCAAGTGTGTTTCTGTTGCTCTTCTATAGAGTGGTAGTGTGTTGTTGGCCAGATCACCAGAAGAAAAAAAAAAGGTGAAAACTAATGCAGCCAACACATTTAATGATTGGTAAGCTGCAGTACATGAACTTTTTGTCTTTTGGGTTAATACTGCTCTTTAAGGTTTGTTGTAGCTCCATTATTAAGGGGTTAACATGGTAAAGTAACTTATTTGAAAAGCCACGTTCATTATTTTATAATTTTCACTTTTCAATAATGCATTACCCAATAATACTGTTCAGACAGTTGCTTCTAGAAAATACACTGTTTCCCTGTCTCTCCGTTGTGCTCCTTTATCACCCTGAGAAACAATTCCCAGTGGAGACTATGAAAAAAAATAAATATATATATATATATATATACACACACACAAGAAGTGGCTGCAGGAGATCAGTATTGCTTATTGTGCTATCCATTTTTCCAGGCATGTGGCGGTGCCATTAATTTGTAATGGTGCCCCAGTGCATCTTGCTAATGTGTTCAGAATCTTGCACAAAAATGCATACTAAAGTACAATGCAAGATTTAAAAATAAAGTTGAAATGAATGAGCTGCCCTAAGCCAGACGCCACCGATTCACGTGTGCATCTTTGCACTTCCATAGGTGTGAATGGAGCCTTATACATCCATGTGCTCCAAGGAGTACAAACACAACCTGGCAACCAAGACATTGTAAGGCTGCAGTTTGCCTAGTGTGTCCATTACCTGGAATAAATGTCAAGAAAAACGAAAATGCCTAATAATACAAGATCAGGCCTTTCTGACAGTGAATGGGTTAACAGCAAAGCTCAATACTTGCAATGGAAAGGTTGATTTTCACTTCTTTTTCATGGATTGCATAGATGTTTCCATTCAAAGTCATTGCTGAGTATCTCTGTGGTTCTCCTAACAATTTAATGCATTAAGGGTGGCTCATTTTAATTTATTAAGATGCTTGGTCATGTGAAAGGCTTACAGTTTTTGTTCCCCTGACTTGGGTTACTCTGTAACAAAGAAATAATACATTGCAAATGAAAGCCCTTGATTGAAATTGTGTGCTCTTTTTTGTGCTTGTTTATTAACTATGGCTTTTCTTTAATGGTTTATTTTTATATTTACAATACTGGATAATGATAGTATTTTTGTCAACACAGTATTATACTTG